CAATATTTAAGCTTTTTTCATTAGATTTCTTAGACATATTTTAAGTGAAAGTGAAGGTGTGTAATCTTGTTGATTTTTGAGTATTTTTTTTGCTTTTGCTGATTTTCTTCCACATATAAAAGTTCTAGAACTTACTTTGTATGGAAGAACATGCACAATACCGACAACAACAAAAAACCGAAAAATCAATGAAAAGTCCTAGCTACTTCAAATTTCCACTTTATTATACTAAAATTGAACGGCATTCTCAAAATGTAATTACAAACCTTGAAATTTTTACGAAATTTTGTTAAATTTTTTTTTTAAATATTGCACAAAGTTTGAAGTTTAGTTTTATGTTTTTTTTTTTTTAATTAATGAAATTAAATAACAAAATAATAAATTGCTAACACTTATACTTTTGGCACGGGGTGTATTTCATAAAAATTTTGAATGCCAAATAAATTACCTGCCACTCCACTTCAATTTTGTACTGCGTTAAACACTTTGCTTTTGTTGAGAGAGCACAGATTTTCACTTTCAAGGGCGTTCTTTTTATTGAAGGATTTCGAAAGTTAAACACTAAAAATCTTTTGCACACAAAAAGCAACTGTAAAACCAGAATTGTATTAAATCCAAATGGAAGGATAAAATCTGCGACTGTTGCAGTTTTACGCACGTCTGCGCAGCGTGAAAGTTTCAACAGTAATGCCGATGCAGAAGAACAAAATGTTTTGGCGACAAACAAATCCAGCCAGACAATCAATGTCGCCACCCAAACGCTATTTTTTTACTCGAAATCTTGTTGTTTTCCAATAATTTTTTTTTTGTTTGCTTTTTCTTTTTCTATTTAATATGTATCAGCTGGTTAATTAGCATTGGAATTCATTTATTCATAAGTTCTGTATTTATTTACACTTCACTTCCCAGTTAAAAGTCGAGCGCTATACAAGCAAAAAATAAAAAAATAAAAATAAAAACGAAAACAAAAACAAATTAACGCCCGCTGAGGGCGAGCAACAGCCACGCACGTGCAACAAGTGGAAATACCATTTGCGAACGCACTGAGTGACGTAGAAGCGCAGCGCCACCCAAACCATAAGCGCGCGTGACACACACACACACAGCCACACGCGCGCCGCACTATAGTAACACACCAAATTTGCAAATTAATTTATTGCTGCAAATGGAATTGACAGCAGAGGCGGGGTGTTGGGATGCAGTCGATTGCAACAACTGAATTTGTGTTGGGGCGTTTCACTGTTATAATTATTCAAGTTTGTTAATTCCATATTTACTTTTTTATTGTTCTTCATTGCTTAGTACTATATAACAATTTGTATCATTCATGAAAATAACGCTATATATTTTTATTGGCACATATGTTTTTTCTTTGGTATATAATATGCACACACACACACGAACGTACATACATATGTATATATGTAGGCTTTAAATAAGTATTTAATGGTAGGCGCGCGCGCCCGTTCAACCCACATTTGCTTGCGTAGCGCTCAATTGCTAAACTAAAACGTAATCTGAAGCTAACAATAGTCAACAGCCAGCAGCCCGCAGCCTTTAAGGCCCGTTTACATACAACTTTGGCGTTGCGTTGGCGTTGGCGTTGGTTTGACAGAACGCACGTTAAAAGTATGCTTGCTACAATGAACGCTTGGCGGCGAATCCTTGGGCCACTAAATTAACATATTAACGACAGATAAATTAATATTTCATATCAATAATTGCATTAAAAACGATATTTCTTGCCCGCACTTGATTAAAAAGGAAAAATATTTCACATAATTTTATTTATTCGCAACAGCTGACGAGCGACGCACGCGAAAAGTTGAGAGTTGGCCATCTTTTTGCTTTGTGTTGGCGTGAGCGTTGTCGAATTTTGGCTATGTGGACGGCTGCATTTGAATTCATGTATTCATAGTCAGCTGTTGAAGCGACGCCAACGCCAACGCAACGCCAAAGTTCTATGTAAACGGGCCTTTACGCTTTCGGCGTACAATGCAACAACAATGCGTCAATTAACGTCACAAATATGATGACAGTGAAATGCTGCCTTTCCATTGACAGCAAAGCTGATTCATCTTGTTGTGTTGCTGTTGGAGCTACTGGAGAAGCTTAGAGTTCGAATGGGAGTAGAAGAGAGGGGGAAGAGTAACGATCAATCAGCTGTTGTTGCGTGCACCGAAAGTGATTTCGCATGCCACTATTCGTTGATTTCTTCGCGCTCCGAAGAGTATGCAATTAGCAGTATTCCACTGGTGCAACTTTAGAAGATTTCAAGTTGATCAATGTTTAAAGCACACTGTCATAGTGGTTAAAGCGTATTAGATTCCAATAACGAAATGTGTTCTTAGAATAAATGGTACTACTGAGTTCTCTAATGAGGGAGAAAGGTGCTCTCGCTCCTTTCAGAGATCTGATGCTGCACTGCAGAGTACTAGTTTCATAACTATTTGGTGGATCGCTTATCCGGATCTGAGGCCAGGAGAAGTGATTTCTTTCTTTCGCCTACAAACCCCTGATATTGACACTATACAGTGGCGAATCATCTCTCACACAAAAAGTAGTATTCGGGAAGGTATAGAGGGTGCTACTTTGGTTGTGAAGATGGACCAGCACTCAGTGGACATCTTAAATTTAAGGTGCGGAAATCGCCTGTGTTTCGTCTTTGGCACTGTAGTTTTTTTATTTTTGTAGTTGATTTAGAACGGGCAAGCTGATGCCCACCGCCGATTTAGAACAAGGAAACCAGACGGATTCGGAACGGTAATTTAAGCAAACTAACAACAATAAGTATAAAATATAAATATAAGTAGGCAGCTAATCTTGCTCCAGAAAACCGCCTTTAACATTTAAACAACATCTTATCCGAAAAGAACTCGGACGGACCACAGGCTTGTTTCAAAATGCCTGCTTACTTTTGTTGCTGCATGGCTGAGTGTTGGGGCCACAAATTTAGGGAAGTTATGCCGATAATACAGGGCTCTCCTGAGAACACAGATCCTAAACATTCATCGCCTTCGACGTACAATTCAACAAAATTTGGACCTATTTTATCTCAACAACGGGGTCGGCCTCATCTTATAGATTTTTTTGATGCTGATTTGAAGTGCATTTACAAAATTTTCCTAGCACGTCCAGTTTTCGAGAAAAAACTGTGGAAGTATCGAAAAATTGCAAAAATTGCATATTTAAACAAATTTTTATAAAATGGAAGTTAAACGTAGTTTTTCCGAGGAAAAAAACCGCCTATTAATGAAAATGCAATTCGTTTGATGGATTCTACCTCATATCGATGAGTTGATTCGAAATGAGTAGAAAATTAAAAAAAAAAAAAACTTATGCATATGAATTAACACCACCAAAACCAAAAAAATAGGTGGTCTTTTCCACAAGAAAAACCAAAGTTCCGGCTTTTTCTCGGCCAATATCCATCTGACCTGAAACACCTTCCTATCAGTCTAGAATCCAAATTAGGTGGAAAGCGATATATGGAGAATTAAGTTAAGAAGCACTTAGCGGCAATGTAAAAGGGTATTTTGAAAACCACTGTGTGCTGTTGCCATAAATATATCACCCATAGTATTACCACCGTAGTCAGCAGTGCCGTCGTTACCTGTGAAGGCCTTCAAAGGGGCTACATCATGTCGGTTTCAAGCTTCAATTTGAGAATACCTATACGCTTTCCGACCAGAGCAGAGTGGGACGTTGGGCTTAGTGGCAGATGATGGTACGTGTATTACAGCCCTCTACACTGATGATTCAAATTTACAGCAAGGAAGCGAGGTCGCTCTCTATTCAGAAGATATGCTGATCGGCTAGTTTTTTCGTCTGGCACATAACTGCAGTGCTTTCTAGTCTAAGATTTATGCTATGTATAGAGAATGGTGTTAGTCTTCTACTCAGTCAGAAAAACCAACAACTTCGTCAATAGTCTAGCGGTCTTGAAAGCACTTTGAGGTGAAATTGGGCTTTGTTTAAAAATGCTGTATCGTACTCTTGCTGGGTTCCTGAAAAACGCAGTATGTAGAAAAACGAGACAGCTAATGAGCTGCCCAGGTGAGGCTCTGAGATGCGAATAAACGAGGCAGAGAATTCTATAAAACCGCCATTTAGGGATCTATGTGCGAAAGTTAACAGACCTACGGTTCGTAAATAAGTTTTCAAGAAAAATGACTTTGAAAGTAACGTTTCCACATGTTTTTGTCAACGGTGGGGAGTTTTCTCTGCCGAAGCTTCAGCGATGGGTATGAGCAGCAATCAATTTTGGGTAGGCATTTAATTTTAGTATAATAAAATGGACGCTCGAAATGGCCCAAAAATTCTCGGTGATTTTTGATTTTTTTTTTTTTGCCGATAGTTTGTGCAGTTTTTTCCATGTAGAAAAAATGCGCAACATCGTATGGAAGAAGATTGTCAAAAATCAACCTGAATTTTGAGCCACTGCAAACTTGCACTTTGTTATACTAATATTAAATGGGCTATTAATCTGCGAAATTTTCCTAAAAAATTTTTTTACAAAATTTCAATTTTTGCTGCCTGATCTTCAGTTGGATTTTAACACTGACCCTCATTATATTTAAGGACCAAAAGCCAAAAGTACAAACATATGTGTACATATTTTCTTGGGCGAGTAAAATATTGTGGCGGCTGACTTCTCAGGTCTAAACCACCATGTGGGGACCGCTGAGACAACTCACAATAAATCTTACGAGTAAGTTCGCGGCGATAGAGCGGTGCTACTTACAATTCAACATTCAACCTATCTCTTCGGTTTTGAACAGCTCATTCACGAAAACGTCGCAAGCCAAAGAAGTCTTTATTTACTCCTCAAGAATGCAATTTTTGAAAAATATATAAGTATTGTTGTGTATGAGAGTTGGGAAATAAAGAAGATTTTAGGCAAAACTTGGAATGTCTTGTAAACCTGTTTTAAAAGACCACGAACATCTGATGGTTTCTATTACTTATATAACTATTTAGTAATTGAAAGATGTACTCACATTGAGGAAATCACGCAGCCACACTACTTCCGGCTTTGGATCGCCAACAACTTCGCAGAATATGATGACCGTATCGCCTTCATAGGCCTCGCTAGAGCGTGGCTTAACGACAAACATGGGCTCTTTGGAATATCTGAAAGAACAAGAATAAAAACAATAAAAAAAGCCGTGGCATATCAGCTTAATTAAAAACAACTTACGGTAGGTCACATTTCACAATCGCCGGTATGTGGCTGCCAGCCCGCTGTCCCTTCTGCTGCTGATCCTCGTCGGGTTCTTCGATTACCACACGACAACTGCTCTCCACTTTACCAACTGCATTTGAAGCGACACACACGTAAATGCCCGCATCGTGTAACGTAGCATCGGCAATAACCAACTCTACGAAGCCGTTGGCGTCTAGCGTGCCGCAAATGCGTCTACTGGGACGCAAACGTACGCCATTGCGGTGCCACGAAACACCGACCGTAGGATATGCTTCCACCTTAGCAGTGAGTCGTATCTCCTGTCCTTCTTGGTAAATATACAAAGGATCGAGCGGCATATAGAATTCCGGCGATATGTAGGCGCGTATGCCCTTATCCACGACCAATGTGCAATGGCACGACACCGAACCCAGTTCATTTTTAGCTGTGCAAGTATAAACTCCACTATCATCCAAAATAGTACTCGCCAATTCGATTGTATGGAATTGCCCATCGTCTGTAATGAGACAGCGCCGACTCTCAACGATTTGCTGATCATCCTTATACCAAAATACTTCAGGCGTGGGATAGCCCACAACTTGGCACGTCAGACGCACTGGATACGTCATTTGCACGCGTCGATCACGCAAACGCATTGTGAATATGGGCAGCGTGTCACCAGCTGGGGCTACTTTATCTGAATGAATAATTTCCTTTAGTTTCGTATCGGCTTCATACAAACGCAGATCGGAGACAATTTGTAAGCGTGCGAAAGTCGATACCCTGCCCTTGGCGTTCGTGGCTTCGCAAGTGTAACGACCAGCATCCAACTCTGAAACTGGCGCAATTATTAGCGTGCAGGTCGAGCCGATTTGTCGAATTCTCATTCGTTCTGCTAATGGACTGATATGCATGCCATCCTTATACCAATCAATTTGGGGGCGTGGCGCACCACGTACTGCGCACTCCAGCATCAGCTGGGTGCCCAGCAAGGCCTTCAACTGACCGGGTAGAATCTTAACGAATTCTGGTAGGCATTCAGCGCCGCCTACTTGCAGTGGACTACTAGTTTGCACCGATGGACCCCAGCCGTAGCGATTCTTGGGCGTAACACGGAAATGATATTCAACATTCGGCTTCAAATTGAAAGCATCAAACGAATTGATGGGTGTTAGGCCCAGCTCCTTCCACATAGCGCCACCTTCATGGCCAACGATCCAAGCATCTACGCGGTAGGCGATAACAGGCGCAGAATTATCGCGCAGCGGCTTACCCCAAGAGAGTGAGATGTGCGTGGGACCGGAGTCGACTACCAAGGGTTCCGTCGAGATGGGACCTGGAGGATCTGCGACATGTTGAAATAGAAAGGGGTTGATAAATACACAGAGGTCAAATGGATACAAACTTATATGCAATAAGGGCGTTGTTGGTGGTGGTGACGCCCTAAGAAGTTTACGCAATAAAACACCATGCGATTCCCCGGAGAAACATTTTTATTTATTTTTATATAGTTCTTGTATCTAAATGTATAAGATGGATATGATTTTAACCATTTTCTAAATTAATTGAACAGAAACCGTATACAAACTATTGTAAATACAATTGTAACAAAATATTTTTTAAAAAAGTAAAAGATGCAATTTTTCAATTGGAATACTAAAGAAATTTAAATACACTTTTTGGAAATCATAATTTTTTGAGAAGTTCAAATCTGTAAACGAAATCAAAACAAATTCAAATCCATAAAGCCCTTTTGAAAAATCTGCAAAATAAATATAGGAAATAGAGAAAAACTTTGAGAAGCTTAAAGCTTTGAATACAACTAACGAAAAATCGACAGTTGACGAAACAAAACAAAAAACGACAACGTAAACACGAAAGACTAAACTTTTTACCCAGTAACTAACACTCTCGACAGAACCACCATTGGAAAACACAACATATGTATTTGACATACACGTTGAACCATAAACACTCACCTCTGAAATATGAAACGTCAGGGAAACTTTCGAGTCGCTGTCCCCAGCGTGGCGAGGTCGGCGTTTCGGAGCGTGCGCGTGGCATTACCTATTGAATCGAGATGTTGTATGCCACATGGACACCAAGAAAAACAAATCAAAAACAATTACACGAACACAAATGGATAGTAGGCAAACAAAAAAAACAAAATGAAGAAATAGGAAATCGAAATTTAGGACAACAAAACATAAAAAGCTATCTATTGTTAAGAAGCTTTAGTATTTAAGCAGAGCTTATTTGCTATTTTTAAAGAGGCGTAGCTCGCCATTTAAGTATTACTGGATGATCATAATTATTTTGAGGGGGTGCTACTTTCTTTCCTTTTGGGAGCTTTAACCTATAATAAAATAAAGCGATTAGTGGTAGTAAGTGCTTGCGAGTTTTTAAATTAGATTGTACCGGAAAAAAGTTCGCCCTACAGCCCCGAATCTAAAGTAGCTTTGAAAAGCGATTTCGAAAGTCGAAATTTTTTGGGCGATCATAGATTTCGCCCCCTTTTCGTTATATCTTCGTCATTTAGTCTCGAGAAGTATTTATTTTTGTCAAAGTTCATTGATCTCAAACACCCCGTTGTACTACTTACCCACCATATCACAGTTCCTACTACCCTAATATGTGTCGTAATCCTAACATAACACCCTAATGTCTGTAAATTAAATATCTCCAAAAATCATTAAACTTTTGCTAAGAAAATGTGTTGATAATTCCATTAGAACTATTTAAGAAAAATTTATTGCCGAATGGAGGTATTACCGAAAAATATAAAAAGGCGATCATTAAGTTCGAGCCAAAAAAAATTTAGAAATTTATTTTCTAAAAATATTTTGGACTTGGGGTTGTACGGCGAACTTTTTTGTTTGCTTGTAAGGTGGTACGGTCTAAAGTACATAGTTGAAGAGCAAGGCATTTGCGGAGCTTTTTATTTTTTTTCATCGCCTGTCAGCTTAAGAGTGTCTATTCGGTAACGAGTTAGTGATTCAGAATCCTTAATGCCGTTTCGCAGCGCCGCTTTTCGGATAACCGCCAGCTGGTTTAACAGCACAAAGTGTGTGTTTGTCTATTAGAGCATTCACACAAGTCGGTGTCTAGTTATACACAATTTGTGGCGACAAATCATCTGCTGGTTAACCCATTCGTGAACAGATATTCTGCAAATTAGTCTACCTGCTATTGGTCTTCTCCTCGACTTGTTGGAACAGGAATCTCATATGGACTCGATTTATTCGTCAGACCCTTTTTTGATCGCGCACTCGACAGCTTCTTTATTTTCCGAGAAATCAAGCCTAAGTTCTGACAAAGAAAATTCACTCGAAAAAATAGGACAGTAGTTTTACTAAACAGGCCTAAGAGAAGAAGAAAAGGAGATTGGGACTGGAAAGCAAAGATCTCAGAGGCCGGGTACTTGGCTGTAGAGTTTAATCTAGTTAGAGGCATACATCCGAATCAGATTTGTCTCCAAACCCTATTTGACTTAGAACAACGAATGTATGTTTACCAAAAAAAGGCTGTACTAATGATGACTGATACCAACATCGGGGCAGAAGAAGTTTTTAGACGTAGGAAGATCGATATCCTGACACATCAGGGCTAGGAAATCAGTGCCCAGATAGACCAAACATGATAGCCTAGTACGTTGATATCTCATTGACCACAGAGAGTTCCGGGATAGCTTTGGTTAGACCGAGGTTGAGATACTCGGAACCTATGGGAAAACATATGTACATTTCCAGAAAGAAGCGCGGACTTAAATATCAAGCTCAACACCCGGAATCGGAATATCCCAATGTAGACTTATGGCCAAGCAGCTGTTAAAACTCTCATGTCTCATCAGCTAGCATCTAAACTGATGATCAAGTGCCTCAATAAGCTCTTAGTCATACCCATCGAGTTTGGTTCTTTGCGGTATATATTGGTATTGAAGGAAATGAGATTGCTGATAAGCTTCAAATAAAGCAGCATCAGCCCCTTTCATCGGCCAAGAGCCCGGCATTTCAGCATCCACCCACAATTCCTGAAAATCACCGTATTTCTTATCCAAACAGCAGCCCTGCCTAGCTCACCGCCATCGTTTATGGGACTTGTTGATTTTCTCTAACTGTTTAACAGCGGTAATATTATCTCATAAACATTATCACTTTAAAAGCCAAGAGTTCTTATAGTCACTGGAAGTATCATTTGCAATTTCGAAAGGCGGTCTCTCAAAAGTCTCAAACAAATGACTTGCTCTTCCTTAGAATATTGTTAGTTTACCAATAAATGCATTAGAATGGTTAAAATTCCTCGCTGTCTCCTTTCAACTTACCGCAACAGTCACAAATACTCTGTCGGTGCCGAAGTTGTTGCGCGCAACGACAAAGTATGTACCCGAATCGGCGATTTGTGAACTTTGCACTGTAAATCTGGTGTAGTCATCCGATACCTCCTTACTAACTCTATCTGATTTGGTTATGTCCTTAGTGCCCTTCAAGAAGGATACTGAAAATACAAAACAAACACAAATACACACCAAATCAAAATTCACATGAATAACCTGGCCTTTTCTAAAACACTCACATTTTGGTTTCGGGTCGCCAGCAATACGGAACGAAATCGAGAATGGATCACCAACTAAAATCTTCATTTCGGTATCTGGTCTGGACAGGAACAACGGTGGACGTTCATCCTTCGGTACACCGGCAGCCACATCAACACTCACATGTGATTCAATGCGACCGAAGGCATTCGAGGCACGACATGTGTACGTACCCTCGACTTCGGGTTGTGCATTTAATATGGCCAGTGTATAGACGCCACCTTCCATAAATGTTTGTACGCCCGGCAGGGAAGAGACATTTTTACGATCTCGTAGCCAATGTACCTCCAGTGGTGTGGATGATTTCATGAACTCAGCCGAAATGGCAACTGTACCGCCGGCACAAACCGTCTGGTTGCTGAGCGGTACACTAAAGTGTGGCTTATTGGGATCGCGATGGAAGTAGCCGTGTGTCTTCTCGAGTGCGAAACGTTCACGACCAACGAAGTCGACTTGGTGAGTGATCTTATTTTCGGCAGCTTCATTGCGGGCAACGCAAGCATAGAGACCGGAATCCTTCTCGGTTGGATTGTTAATAATCAATTTAGTATGGCCATCTGCAGATGTGATAATGTTATAGCGATCGCCTTCGGTGAGCGGTTCGGTGCCCTTCAACCATTGTACATCGGGACGTGGTTTACCGCGTACACGGCAATCCAGAACCAGTGTATTCTCGTTAATCGTATAAGTATCTGATGGATGGAAGAGGGTTATCAAGAAGTTATAAACAAGTTAAGGTGGATTTGTACAGAGCAGGCGGCAATCAAATGAACTGAGAGTAAAACGTGTGGTCGGTTTTTTATCAGGGAAACTTATTAGAGAAAGCCTCTCCCCAAAATTTGTGAAGAAAAAGGATTTGATTGCCATCTACTCCGACAAGCAAACACAAAAATTACAACAAAATCACACTTAATCACCGATCACGAAACACAAAAACTTTTGAAAAAAAAATTACTAAAAATCTGTCTGCCCCACCCCTCAGGTCAGTAATATGTGTCTCTTAGGAATACCTACTTAAAGATCTTATTTGAACTATACTCCACCTCGGATTGATTGTACAAACGCGGTTGGCTGTACAGCGTCCTCGTAGTGCTTGTAGATACGTAATTGCGCGTGCGTAAACGTTTCACCATAATCGTTGATGGCACGACAAGTGTAATTGCCGCTATCATCCACACTCGTTGCACCAATATCCAACGAAGCAATACCATTGCGGAACATAGTCAAATAACGACCATCATTCAGCAGCGGACGATGATTCTTCAGCCACTCAATGCGCGTATCACCGTCGCAAACCACATTACAACTCAGTCGTATGCTGGAGCCCTCAGTGACTGTGCGATCGTGTAGCAGAGTACTAAATAATGGTTTACTCTGCGAAATCATGCCTAAAGGACGACGTTCGCGTGCGCGTTTAATAACAGCCTCAGTGCTGCCGTAGGCCGATACATCACCGTTGCTAGTAATCGCTTCGTAGGGCGTCTGCGAGGAACGACGCCTATGTGATATGTATTCGCCATTTGTGGTTACCTCTGTGGCCGTGGACATTAAGCGCTTCAGCTCGCTGGTACGTATGGACTTGCTGATAGCGTGTATGACATCATTGGTTTCAGCAAAGCACGAGAAAGTGCCACAGTCGGAAGGTATAGGATTGCGTATGACTAATTTCCGTATGCCACCCACCGCTTCTATAGACTTGTAACGATTATTGGAAATGCTGTGATCATCGCGTAGCCATGTGACATTCGGACGGCCATGCACTTGACAGGTGAGTGTGATCTCGTTCCGTTGCGCATCATATGTTTCTAAGGGAAGATATATTCAAAAGTGTTACGCCTATATGGAAAATGCAACTCAGATTACTGCTAACTATATAGGGTAACCACGAAATTTCTGTCGGCAGTCTACCCAAATTTAGACCTCATTCCTCCACACTACATTACCTTTGATATCGCTCGCAAAACTACTAGGCAGTTTGCCGCTTGCTTGTTCGTAGACGGTTAATTCGCAACTGCTTTCAATCGCATTCTTATTATTTCGCACCACACACTTGTAGACGCCTGTATCGTCAGCTCTTGCGTTGTGTATCTCCAAGCTGATTGCTCCATTAATATTGTATATTTTATGACGCGTATCTTTGGTAACGCGCTCGTCGCCGCGCAACCAATAAACCTCTTCAATGTAGCCACTAACATAGAATATGAGCTGCGCCTTATTACCCTCTGCTATGGACATTGGTTTCATTACAGTCTCAGCACTCAACTTGAGCTTCTCCTCCTTTGCCTTCGACTTCAGCTGCGCGCTGGTTTCGCGTTCATCGATTCTAGCGGTCGCATCAGTTGGTGCGGGCTCCTGTATGACCTTTTCTATGGTCCGCTTCTGCGTTAATTTCTGCACATAGTCGGATATGTCCAAAAATTTGCTTATCTTCATCTGTCCGCTCTCGTTCTCTGCATAGCAAGTGTAGAGCCCTGTGTCGGTCTTGGTTGGCTCTGTGATGAGCAGTTGTGTGACACCGTCGCCTATATCCGCATATCTGTACTTCGCGCTGTCCAGAGGCAGCAACGTATTGTCTTTTTGCCAATAGATATTAGGCTTAGGATTGCCGGATACCTTACATTCGAGCACAATTTCATTTTGATCTTTCTGATAAGAATCTGTATGAAAAGTTTGGACAACAAGGCGATACACAGAAGATGAAATCAAACACAAATTGAATAAGAAATGATTTTATGTTACAGTTAGTTGCCTAGGCTCATAATGCGGTGTTAGTAGCAGCGGCAAAGCGCTTAATTTATCGCTACCCCTATAGTTACTTTTATACGCTAACATACCTGCGACTCTTCGACAACACCATTGGACGCATAGACACAATTCCTCAATAACAAGAAGTTACACATTTCCAAGTTCACATCAAAAACACATGAAATTACACTTTACCTTTGATGCCCACAGTAAAAACGGGCGCCACCAACTCCTCCACACCGGTTCTGTAGACAAATAGTTCGCAAGTGCTAACCACCTCATTCTCCGAACCTTTGATGCGCAGTGTATATTGGCCAGCATCTTCTTCGGTTACGCCTATCAAATTCAACCATGCAATACCATCCTGACAGGACAGTTTGCTTTTTGGTCCAAAAGCGATGGGCGTATCGCCATGGAACCAACGTGCAGTTGGCTCAGGTCCATCGATATTGACCATCCATTTAACGTTGCTGCCCGCCTTCACGGTACGATTTGAGAGGAAATTTCTCAGGTATAGATATTTCTTTAGATCTGGTGGTGGTGGCGCTTCACGTCTGCCACCACCGCCACCCTCCTCATCGTCCTTAGCCTTCCTCTTCTTTTTCTTCTCTTCACCCTCCTCGCCCTCTTTCTGCTCCTCCTCTGTTGCTGGCTTCACTGGTGGTCTAGCCTCCTTCGATGGCGACACCGGACGTCGACGTCTGGGTTCCACAGTCACAATATGAGTAATCTCAGTTTTTCCTTCACGATTTTCAGCCTGACACACATATTTGCCACTATCGCCCTGTACTGGATCGATTATGAATAGCTCGCATAGACCATCGTCGTGATCGATTTGCTGATACTTTTCGCTTGATTCAATTTTAACGCCATCCTTAACCCAAGTCACAGTTGGTGTGGGTAGACCACGCACATGCACGTCCAGCTGTAGCTCATTGATCTTGCCATGATAGGTATCTTTGATGTTGCGCGTGAATGTGGGCGGTACATCGCCAGTGCCGGGATCGGCATACACTTCCAATTTGCAAAAGGTGGAAGCCTCGCCAGTTTCATCACGCGCCCAGCACTTGTACACACCACTGTCCTCAGCCGTAGCGCTGAATATTTCCAGCAGGCATAAGCCTTCACTGTAGCGTCCCCTAATTTTAGGGCCATTCTGAATGGCTTCGTCGTTCTTGAACCATTTAACTTGTGGCTCCTTCGACTCTAAGAAGCAAGATATCTTCACTTTAGAACCCTCAGCTACAACACGATCACGCACAGATGTAGCGAAATGTATGCCGATAACCTTTTCACGTTTCTTAAGACTACCAGCATCCGAGGCATACTCGGTTGCCGATGAGGTAACTTCTTCCTCCTCTTTCTTTGCTCGCTTAACCTTACTCTTGCCTTTGCCTTTTGCGTCCTTCTCTTCCGATTCACCATCGGTCGTATCACCTTCTTTGGCTGCTGTCGCTGTTGGTGCTGGCTTCTTCTCTTCCTCTGTTGCCTTGGGACGCAACAGGCTCTTATCAGCATGGAATACACCATGGATATTCTCAGCGATATGAGAAGCACTACCCTCAAAAAGCACCGTGTGCAAAATTTCACTCTTTCCAGCGCTATTCTCCGCGCGCACCACATACTTGCCGGAGTCCTTTTTATCGGGTCTATCAATGATCAATTCGCAAGTGCCATCCTGGTGTTGCAAAATTTGGAAACGTCCACCACTTTTTATTTCGAAATTATCCTTAGACCATGTTACCTGCGGCGCAGGCTGGCCACGTACTCCCGTCTCCAAGATTAATTCATTTGTATTCAGATGATAGATTTCTATTTGAGGGCAATAACATAAAATTAGTTATTATGTAACTCACTCGATTGAACTCACAAGATTACGAAATCATTTGCGAAAAAGAAAAGGAATAACACACACTGGCTCGTGCCAATCTAACAGTAAAGGCATAAAGTCGCTACTTACCTTTCAGTGAGCGCGTAAACATCGGCTCCACATCGCTGCTGACCTTCGGCGAGTAAACGTGTATCAAGGCCGAGGTGGTTATTTTACAGAATTCATTTTGCGCTGTCAAAGTGTAGACGCCAGAGTCTTCGGGAGCAAGATTCAGGAACTCCAAGCAGGCCAAACCCTCGCGGCTCATATTGCGTATGCGTGGTCCATAGGTAATATTTTGTTCATCTTTCTGCCACTTGAAAGTGGCATCTGGACCGCCGACAACTGCCTGCAGTTTAACCTTAGAGCCCACGGCTACATAGCGATTCGATAGATTCGCAATGAAGTACAATTGCTGCTTTGGTGTGGGATCGGGAATGCGACTGCGACGCTCATAGGTGCCTGACTCAGCTTCGTCGTCATCCTTCTTCTTGGATTTTGGAAGACGGCTGCGCTTTTCGGACTTCTCACCCTTTTGGCCAGCCGCTTCTCCAGCGCCAGCTTCGCTATCCGATTCGGTCATTACGTTGGACAATAAACTCGAACGACGCGACAATTGCACAACTTCTACAACAACTGTGTGTGTGGTCTTCTGGCTGCCCAATTTATTTTCAGCTATGCAAGTGTACACACCGCTATCATTCGTTGTTGGCTTGTTAATGATCAGCTCACAGATACCGTCCAAATGCTCGATCTGTACGCGACGATCATCGAGCACAACTGGTAAATTGTCCTTTACCCATGTAATCTTGGGGCGGGGGTTGCCGCGCACCTTCGTGTCGATAATTAAATCGTTCTGCGACGAGTGGTATACATCTGTGAATTTGAACAGAGACAGACATCAAAGCGATTTGCCGCGAAAGCTTTCGCTGGTGACAATTAAAATGCTGGCACACAAAGAAACTCCGACAAATTGACACAAAAAGCGATATTTGTGAATGTGATATGCAACGTGTCTATTTTGGGAATGGACACCTCGACCCCAATTGGGGTATTTAGGTCTTTCGTTTAAACGATTCGATTGTGCGAACGAGCGGTTGTGTGTGATTGAATGCATCGATTACTGAATTTTCACCAACAAATATGTATGTACAAACACTAAGCAACCACACAAACACAATACGCGCGTATGCCCCGTGTACAGGTGTGTATCTGATTCCCGGTATCTTACGACAATAAAATGCGACACAATTTGAGTGACAAGGATAACACGAATTCACTAATCATCTCAACAAATACATACAACACCGACGGAATAAACAAACACTCCCACATCTGCCATACCTCTGAGTGGTAGTGCGAACATTGGCTCCTGTTCATCGCCATCAGCCTGTGCACTGTACACCTTGAAGTAGCACTGCGTTTCAACTTCGCTATGTTCGTTCTTGGCTACACACTTGTACACGCCTGATGCTTCGGATGTAACCTTGCTCACCTCAAGTATGGCCTTGCCTTCCTCGGATAGATTCTTAACAGTGGGACCAGCCACCACCCACTTGTCATCTTTCATCCAGCGACAGGTGGGGCTCGGTCCGATGACAGTGCACACGAAGCGCACAGTGCTTCCTTCCAGTGCCATGCGATCGCGCAGTTGTGTGGCGAATGTGAGTTTTTGCTTCGGCGAAACCAATGGCTCGGGTGACGCGCGATGTACGCGCTCCCTTGCCTCAGCCGCTAGTGAGGTGCGCTTAAGGTCTGAGGCGGCTTTTGATTTGAGCGCCTCCGTCATGGCTTTCTTTGCCGACAATTCCTTGTCCTTTTGTAGACGATCGCGAGCGTGGAAGATGCCGCGCGCATGGAAATGTCGATTTTTGGCCACTTCGACGTGATGGCTAATTTGCACTTCGCCGCTGGAGTTCACTGCCTTACAGATATAACTACCGCTATCCCTATCATTCGGTTTGTAGATGAGCAACTTGTAGGTGCCATGTGCCTCCTCAAGCATGGTAAACTTGTAACTCGGCTTGATTTCGAGGCCACCTTTCATCCAAACGACAACTGGACGTGGCACGCCGTGTAAGTGGCACTCTATTGTGAGCTCATCGTCACGCAAATGGTAGTACTCTGTAAAGGTAAAATTTCCCATAAAAAATATACCCCACACGTCAATAAATATACCTGTAAGATCTCTTACCTTTGACGAGCTTGCATGAAGGAGGTGCTGGTTCATCCTTGAATATCTCATAGATTGTTATATAACAAGACGACTGAACGGTATCGTTGGAATTCGCCACTACACAGGTGTACTCGCCGGAATCTAAAATCGTCGTATTTACCACCTCCAATGCCAAAATGTTGTTGTTGTTGATGATGCGATGTGTGGCATCACGCTCCAATTGCCGACCATCCTTGAACCATTTCACCGACAACTCGGGACCGCCGACAGCACAAGAAATACGCACATTATGGCCAGCTTCAACGGTACGATCCGTTAAGTAGACAATGAAATGTGGCAAACGTGCTTGCTCGCGTATACGCTGCCATTCGGCATCACGTTCCTTCTCGCTCTTGTGTATGCGCAAACTGTATTTGCGCATTTGTTGCATAAACTCCTCACCCTCTTCCGCGGCAATTCGCTGCCATCGTTCCTCATCGTAGGGATTGGGTCTGGTGAACTCCTCAGATGAATTGCTGCCACGGCGCTTCTTGCTCTTAGGCAGTTCAGGTACCACATCCTCTTCCTCCGCCTCAGCGTCAGCACCTTCCTCTGGGTCTGCTTCTTCGTCCCGATATTCGCTGCCACCCTCATCGGCATAGTCGCCGCCATACGACTCAGTGCCAGCGTGTGATTCATCACCCTCTTCGTCCTCTTCTTCGCCGCCCTCATCTTCTGGCTCCTCGTCCTCCTCAGCCTGTTCGGCTGCCCGCTGCTCGGCCAACTCTGCTTCAATGCGGTCCTGCTCCTCTTTCTCCTTCTTCAAGCGTTCTTGGCGCTCAGCAAAAGTTTCGCCTTTGGGCTTAGAAGCTGCTTTAGCTGCTGCATCTTCGGCAGCTTTAGCCGCTGCCTTGGCCTGCTCCTCCATTTGCAAGACAAGTTTACTCTTCTTCGGTGGTGGCTTGGGTGCAGGTCCTGCGGCCTGTTTTTCCTCAAACATTTTCTTACTGGCCTTTTGACCGCCGCCCATTTCCAATTTCAAGGTCAACTTGGGACTGGGCGATTTCTCCTTCTTTTCTTTTTTCTTTGGCGCAGCCTTTTTTTTGCCCTTCTTTACAGGCTCATCGAATTCATCCGGCTCGATACTCTCCTCTCGGTCGGCGCTTTCAATATCACCGGACTCCGCTTCAGCTTCCGAAATAGAGCCGGATCTTGCATCCTTTTCGACTGACTTGCGTGGTGTGCGCGCCTTCTTGCCCTTGGCTTTCTTCTTTGGCTTCACCTCCTCTATGATTTCCTCCTCCTCTTCGACATCCTCGTACTCCTCAATCAAGTAGATAACCTCAACATTCGATACATCCATTACGGCAGCACGATCAATGACAGACAAATCGGTCGTTATGTAACGCACAGGCTTTTGAACTTCCTCGCTCTCTGTAATATCCATAACCAATGCTCGATCAAAAACGGCTTTATTGCAGGTGATTTGAGTTTTAATATCCCTGCCAAGTTCGAAAGGAGTTTTCTCGCGCTCCTCGCGTTTCAAGAAAGGCGTTATACTGCGCCATGTCGAAGGCGTAGCGCTGCGACGATTCAGGTATAGCGAGAACGGGGTTTGACTCCTGCCGCGTATGGGTGTAGCGCTGCGACCGCGCAGCGTACCAGGAGTTGGCGATTTCAATTTCCGACGTTTTTGCACCGGGACCGCTAACGTATCCTGTACAGGAGTCGATTCGGGCTCCTCAGAGGGTCGCGTATCGGCTGCACCGACTTCACCTTCCGTCTCTCCCATCGTTTCGACAACTTTTTTTTTTTATCGATCAAGGATCAAACGAACGAGGTTAAACAAAATAGCGCGTGCTTGCGTTTATTAAATAACAAACAAAAAATATTTCGATTTATTAACGATTTTTTAAACTTTTCGAGGCGTTTATTAGCTGAGTTTATAAATTCTATATTATTATATATGTATATATATAATATTTTCGGTAAAATTCCAATGCAGCGGCTCGATTGGGAGAGAGCGTTCGAAACCGTTCGATTAGAAATTTTAACTATAACTGAATTGAATGCGCCGAATAAATTTCAAATGGTTTTTTCGACACGATTAAAAGACGGCGCGACGTCTGTTTTCGATTTAACGACCAGCGAAGTGCTCGATTTCGAAGTGCAGCACCAAGCAACATACAAAATGTTGGCCACGAGCAATCAATTAATTGATCAATCGAATGGCGAAGAATTTCCGAACGATTTGCAGCGATTGCCAATAATCTAAATTTACTTAATTGTCATAGATTCACGCGTTATTTATTCGGGTTTATTTTTCTCGATTTGTAATTATGTAAACAGGCAACGAAGAAGCCAATGAGGCTGCGTGGGTGTGGTGCAGCGAGCGGAAAAGGTTGCTGCAAGGGAAGTGTTTTAAGTAACTGCGCGCGGTATTTTTAGCGAAGCTATTTTCTGCAAGCAGTTGGCGTGTAGGTAATTAAATTTTTTACTTTTATTTTTATATTTTTTTTTTTTCGTCATGACGATTTGCAAAACTTATTCTTTTCAGCCCGATTTGCACTGACACCTTAATTTCGAAATTCAAATCAACGGATTTGAGAGATTGCTCGAAGCACCAAAAAAATAACAAGAAAAGAAAAAAGAAGAGCAAAGCGACGGCAACGGCATTGAATCATACTACACGGAAACGCCACTTCCCGATTATTTCGAATTCGGTTCATCATGTGAATGCTGCGATTGTTTTGATTTTTTTTTTTCTATGAATTAATACTTTAAATTTGGTCTAAATAAATTTTTAATCACAAATATAATCACGAGACGAAGATTACTTGAAATATCGCGCTACTTACCTGTACACAAATGTATGTATGTATATCGTTGATAGTTTTAGAGATTCGTAAAAAAAATTATAAAATCATATAAAAGTTGTAAGTAAAATTTTTTTATGTACATAAATAAAATTATTCTCCATGTATTGAGACATGCAGAACATTACGAGTCAGCTAAATACATCCGCTGATAATAGTTCATTGCAATACATACTAGGTGCGAGCGTTAAACATTCCTTAAACGGCGCACATCTAAAACATTTCAAAACTATTTATTGAAATCTCTCCTCTTTATGCCTTATCAATAGTGGAATTCGCGCTTCTGTGTATTCGTTGTATCTTACTTAAGTGTAACTGGACGAGCGTGTGATTGTTGTTGCAAGTGTATTTATTGTACTACTATCAACAACAAATCACACGCTCATTCAATTACAATTACACAAGATACAACGAATACACAGAAGCGCGAATTCCACTAATGTACATAACTTCGTTATCTAATTAAGAAAAAACTATAGTACCGATATATTTTGGAATAAATTTTCCTCATATTTACTTTGTCAAATTGGGAGATAAACTGGTTTCGATTTTGTGTCAGAACAAAAATTGGCCCTGAAGATGGCGCAAAGCTGAAGTCGATTTGTTTCCATACCAAATTTGAAGGATGATGACGGGAATTCCGCCCGAATTGTCTCGTGAAAAATCGTTCAAACTAGCTTTGCTCCACACGCTTTTCGGGCTGTTTCGGTAACTAGAGCGTAAAAATAATTTATCCTCTCACAAGTGTCAAAAATGTGTCAACACGTGCCAAAAGTTTCCAGAGCGTGAGGAACGTAAAAAAAATAACATTTTGTGCTCGGAATTAACAAATCTGCTCTAAACAATGACTTTATGCGTATTTATCTAATATGGCAAATAAAATTAGCAACTATTCACATTTTTTTTCTAGCGTGAGGAACGCTTTCTAGGCTGTTTTGGGCACCCGCGTGCCCGTGTGAAACAAACCAACTGTCTCATCCGAATTCATGATTGGGTCCTTGCACCCAATCCCCCGCCACTGAAAACACAATATTATAACTGAAAAATTTCCTTCCCTTGACGGATACTTCCAGGCCTCCACGCTGCAAGGTGCAGTAATCTTCCGAAAGGGAGTGTTCCCAAGGGAAAATATCCGCGCATATTTCAGACGGAGTCAACACCGTGTGCAGAGCTAAGTTACGTAGAACACCCGAAATTAGAGGATCCTAATCTTAAGTTATATCAAGGCGGCGCTCCGGGCTATCATATAAAATCAAATCATCCTCAGTCGTTGTGTGAATTGAGAAGCTTAACTTCCTTAGGTGGTACAGTGAAATCCAGATACCAGGCCACAAGGAAGGCTGTTGGTTCAAATACTATTAACGAAAATCTCAGGAAGGAGAAGAACACATTGAATGGCGAAGTTCAACAGGGCTTCGACCGGCTAAGAATTCTAATCAGACTACGAAAATAGAAACTGAGCGTATTAGCAGCTATCCTTACAAAACACTGCACACAAGCAGGTCAACTACCTAAGCTTAGGTTCCTTTTCATTTTTGCGACTCGACCAAAGCGACAATATCGCATATTGTTGTGGGTTATGACGGCGTTTGTAGAAGACGTTTGGCTCAATGTGGCCAAAGTTTAAGCACATACACTATCTACAATCGGAAGCTAATCTGAACTTTCTGAGATACTTGGTCTTAGAGAAAAAGTGGTATTGAAAGCAGTACATTTTTCGTAGTAATAGTAGTAATATCTAGCGTCCAGCAACATAAGGAAAATTCACCCGTGAAAAGCTGCAATAACAACTGACTGGCGCCGCCATGCTTACTCTCTGTGAGCACTTACCATCAAGCCGACTTATGCAAGAAAGAAATCAGATTACATCAAGCTCGAAAGAACAACTAATAAGAAATGTCACGAAGCAGCAGAGAGAAAAAATTCGCCACCTACAGGTCCGCCCTGCCCACCGCCAACGAATTGATTGAGTTATATCAGTGTGGGTTTAGACCTGACAAGTCCACCATAGACCAGGTATTCACAATACTCCAAAAGCCAGACAAGACTAACGAAAATAGAATGGACGCACAACATATACTTGTCTTTTTCAAAGCCACTTTCGATAGCACGAAAAGAAGTGGTCTTTATGCCGCGATGTCTGAATTTCGTGTCCCCGCGAGCTCTATCAGATTGGGAGGGACTTATCTTAGTCGTTTGAATAATATCTAAACGCTGCAGAACTGAACCGCTCAGGCACAACTCATTACAAGAGCGTAGAATTGCTTGCGTATGCCGGCGACACCGACCTTATCGGTAAAAACAAAGGTTTCATGTGTTCTGCCTTCATCGCATTTAGATATGGAAGCAGAGCGCGTAGGTCTGTTGGTTAACAGGGAAAAAACGAAGTATCTTCTGTCATCAATGTCGATGTCAATCGAAATTCAGCGCAGAATTATTATTGCAATAACTCCTAATTAGGACTGCGTAGGCAATTTAGAAGTAAAGTTCTCCCTCGCCGTATAAAAATTACACTCCATAAGTCACTCATCATGCCTGTGCAGGTTCATAGCGCGGAGGCGTGGACATCTAATGAGGCGGCTCTTTGAGTTTTCGAGAGAAATATTCTACGGAATATTAACGGGCCTTTGCGAATGGCGAGCTTTCAACGATAAGACATAGTGCAACGAACTAAAATCCAGCGGCTTGGCTGGCTAGGTCATATCGTTCGAATGGAGAGAAACGCTCGAGCCCTGAAAGTATTCAACACGGAGGGCGATGCTGGTAACAGAGGAAGAGGAAGGTTACAACACCAATCAAGAAGAAGAATTAGGCATTAAAATAAACAGTGGACCGTTAACTCATATTTTGGTAGTTATTAGTTATTTTATTTTTATTGTATTTTTGAAACGTTTGTAAGAAAAATACATAAATATATGAATTTCAGGAAGTAATCGGACTTTATTCTCCAACCAGTGTAACATCTCAGCATATTCAACAAATTCGAATTCATGCATTTCCTTTTATGCGTTCGCCTTTTTACCAGACAATAAGAAAAATATCCACTTAAAAACGTTCTTAAACTAGCAAATAAAATATTTTGCATTTTGTCAAAGCATTCTCAGGCATAATATCACAGTACGCGCCCATACAAACACACATACATACATACGATCATATAAATATTCAATACTAAAACAAGCAAAAAAAAACTAAATTTCATTAACTCGAAAAAAACAGATGAAATTGTTTACTTAGAAAATACGGTAATTCACTTAATACTTAGTAAGCTCGAAAAAAGCGGAAAGCAAAGCTCCTAAATAGGTATGCATATAAACATACATACGTATGTATGTAAATATAAATTTAAATTTAATTTCAGAAGAAAAAAAAAGTCAAAGTAAATAAAACAAAATAGAGCCAGTAAAGAATTTCGAAAATGAAAAACAATTTGCATACCTCTGATGTTACGCGTAAATATTGGCGTTGTGCCAAATTTAGTTGTTGGTACATCGTAAACAGTCACAAGGCAACTCGTCTCCACTTCTCCATTGCGATTGGCCGCCACGCATCTGTAAACACCCGCATCGCCTGCATTGGCTGTCCGTATTTCCAAGCAGGAGAGTCCATCGTTGAAGGTCTTTCGATATTTATCGTCATTCGCAATCAATGTCTGATCGCGATACCAATCAACCTTCAGTTCTGCGCCAGATATACTGCAGGTGAGTTTTATATCGCTGCCCAACGCTGAGTTCCGGTTTGTCAATTTCAACTCAACGTTTGGCGCACGTCGGGCATTTCGTGCTTCCCGTTTATCTTTGTACTCTACTTCGCTTGGCTTCTCTGCGCGTGACCTTGATTTCTCCAATGGCACAGCATCAACCTCATCTAAAGCTGCTTCGGCAGGTTTTGTGATAATTTGTTGCGCTGACTTTGGCTCAACAACTTCTGTGACGTCCTTTTGTGTGATCACCACGTCTTCAGTCTTTTTCGTAGTAGCCTCTTTCGTAATATCGATGGGTTGTTTGTCTTCTGCAATGCTCTTCTTTCTCTTTTCTTTCTTGGTTTTATCTGCTTCCGTTTTAATTTCCTCAGTCACCTTTGGTGTAGGCTCTACTTGCTTTTCTATCACCTCCTTGTCTTTTTCTGCACTCTTCTTTCTCTTCTTTGGCTTTTCTTCCACCTTCTCAGCTTCTTCGGGAGGCTTATCCGCTGGTTTGTCTTCAGGTTTCTTATCAAGGTTTGCAGCAGCCTCAGGCTTATTTTCTACAGCTTCAGGTTTTTTCTTATCAGCTGCCTTTTCTTCTTCGACACTCTTCTTTCTCTTTTCCTTCTTCGGTTTCTCTTTTAGCTTCTCAACTTCTTCGACAGGCTTTTCAGCTGGTTTTTTAATAGGCTCTATTTTCTTTTCTTCCTCCTCATTTTTCATTCCTTTGTCTTCTTTCCGATTCTCAACAGTCTTCTCGGCTTCTTTAATAGGCTTCTCAGCAGATTTCTTATCGAGCGTTTCAATAGCTTCAGCTTTCTTTTCTACAATCTCTTGCGCTTCAGGCCGTTTTTCTTCCTCTTTCTTAACTTCTTCGGCACTCTTCTTTCTCTTTTCCTTTTTGAGTTCCTCTAGAGTCTTATCAGCTTCTCCATGAAGTTTTTCTTCAGATTTTTTAACGTTCTCAGGTTTCTTTTCAACAGCTTCAACAATTGCAGGCTTTTCTTCCACGACTTTTTTCACTTCCTCAGCACTCTTCTCTTTCTTTTCCTCTTTGGGTTTCTCCAGAGTCTTACTAGATTCATCAGAAAGTGGTTCTTCAGGTTTTTCAACGGTCTGAGGTTTCTTTTCAACAGCTTCGAGATTTGCAGGCTTCTCTTCCTCGACCTTTTTCACTTCATCAGCACTCTTCTTTCTCTTTTCCTTTTTGTGCTTCTCTAGAGTCTTATCAGCTTCTTCAACAGGCTTTTCAGCAAGTTTTTCTTCAGATTTTTCAACGGTCTCAGGTTTCTTTTCAACAGCTTCAACAATTGCAGGCTTTTCTTCCTCGATTTTTTTCACTTCCTCAGCACTCTTCTTTCTCTTTTCCTTTTTGGGTTTCTCTAGCGTCTTATTAGCTTCTTCACCAGGCTTCTCAGCAAGTTTATCTTCAGATTTTTCAA